AAGCATGGATAAATATGGATTCCCAAGGGGTTGGGGGTGATGTGGGGAGTATAGATTAAGGTGAATTGACACACATATCCATCAGGCAATTTCTGTTGAACTACCAGTGCTAGACTGTGTAGTGTTAGATTCTAACAAACTTATTTAGGTAAGAAGTATCAGCTAATTGACAACATCCATTCATGATGAGTATACAAGCACTTCAGTGAAAACTGGGCTTCGGAGGAAACAGAAGTCAGGTCCAGTGGTGCTAGTCAGACAAGCCAGCCCAGTCTGCAGGAGAAGGGATGTCGGGTGGAGTGGGTCAGCCCACACTGAAGATATAGAGTACTTCTCATACTCGAGGAAGTGATAAGGCCTGAATCAGGACTAGAGAGAGGTTCATGAGCCTAAGTGACCCTCGGGACAGCACCTGCTGAGGCTGCCAGGGGGAATTGACCTCCACAGACTTCTCTGCTAAAAGGAACAGAACTGAACCTTGGATGAACACTATGTTCCTGCACGAGGTCCACAGAAATCATTCCTCACTGCCTTTGATAAGATTGCCTCAAGAGACTGTTTTAGTTGGTCTATAGGGGCTAGGAGCCAAAACTGGCAGATAAAGGGAAAGACAGAGGTGAGAGAGAGAAGTGGGCAGCAAAGCATGAAGCCAGATGTGCTGGTCTGAAAAATCCTGTAGAAGTGGCTTACCTGGAGATGTGAGATCCAGGTAGTCAGACATGTAAGCCAACTGCATCATTCCTTTCTTTTAGTTTAGGGAAAAGACTGATTTTTAAGAGCCTGTGGTTCTACTATAGGGTAATAGAGGTACTTAGCCAGAGAAATGGAGTTTACAATGTGCACAGAAGAGAGTGAGACAGATTTGTGTTACTAGTGGATTACTTGATGGATTTATATCAGGGATTTTAACTCCCCTCCTTCCCCTGCCTTTGAGGTACCACATGAGAACAAAGTCTGCATAAATCCTCTCTAGAGTTATGCTTAACTCGATCAAGGCACAATACATTTTAAATCAAATTTCTTCTATGCAGAAAAAGTTTCCAGAAAGGCGGAGCAGGGAGAGGAGCCTCATTATTCCCTTCTGTCATTCTTTTAATCCAGTCTTGACAAGAAGTTTCCTGTTGAATAAGTCAGGGTTCTTCAGAACAACAGAAGCCATAGGATATATATACATTATCCTACGTAAACTGAATTACACCACTGGCTTCCTTGGGTCTCCAGCTTGTAGATTGCAGACATGGGTCTTCTCATCCTCCATAATCACATGAGCCAATTCCTCATAATAAATCTTCGGATGTGAAGATCCTAGATCTGCCGTCTGCTGGAGACCCAGAAAATCCTGTCTGAGTGCAAAAACACGAGCACCAGAAGGAACTAATGGTGTAAATCCAAGTCCATGGGTAGAAGATGAGATGAAATGTCTAGCTCAAACAGTGATGCAGAAAAAAGGGGCAAGTTCCTCCTTCCTCCGTTTTTTGTTCTTTTCAGGTCTTCAGTGGATTGGTTCATGCCCACATGCATTGGAGAGGGCAATCTATTGAGTCCATGAATCCAAATCCTAATTTTGTCCAGAAATGCTTCATAGAGACACTCAGAAATGTTTAGCTAAGGGCACCCCATAGCTAGCCAAGATGACACCTAAAATTAACCATTACACTGTATTATTTACAATTAATTTCAATAATTTACTTTTTGCAGAGAAGCTTTTCCAGTTAAGAAAGCTTGTCAAGTTGTTTCTACCCATTAATTTTTCAAAAGTATGCAGCGGATGATGGATTACTTTGTCCCTCACACACATAAAGATAACTAAAGCATAAAAAATGTTTGTGTATCCAAATGGTGTTTATGCAAAGACCAGAGCAAAATATTTGGTTCGTATATAGTAGTTGAAAGAAACCTCTTTCAGACATTTGTGGTACATGTAGTCACTCTAGCTTTTATATTCTGCTCTTGTGGAAGTGGAGGGTGATCTATAACAAAAACCATCCTCAGGTTAGCCAGTCTAGCATAACACTTCAGGAGAATGTGACTTCAGGTCAAGAAATAGTTTTCTGACCCAAATAAAACCCGTAGAATAGCCAAGATCTGGGGTGACTTTATGGCCAACATATTGTCAAATCTCCAGTCAACAGAAAGGTCCCCCTGCTTGCCTTCCCTTTCTCCTCTTTCAAACTCCCTCTGTTCTTTTAACCCTTTGATTCTGGTGTTGATAATTTCACTCCTCTGCCCTTGTTAGTTCAACTATTAGAAGAAGCTTGGATGGGGCGCCTGGGTGGCGCAGTCGGTTAAGCGTCCGACTTCAGCCAGGTCACGATCTCACGGTCCGTGAGTTCGAGCCCCGCGTCAGGCTCTGGGCTGATGGCTCAGAGCCTGGAGCCTGTTTCCGATTCTGTGTCTCCCTCTCTCTCTGCCCCTCCCCCATTCATGCTCTATCTCTCTCTGTCCCAAAAAAATAAATAAACGTAGAAGAAGCTTGGGAGCCAGGAGCTGAGGGGATTGGAGTCATGTGGTTGGTTGGAGAATGAGGACGGAGGATGTGAGAGTGGCCTCAGGGTGAATCATCAAAAAGACTATAACACTTGGGGCACCTGGGTGGCTCAGTGGTTAAATGCTTGACTCTTAGTTTCAGCTCAGGTCATGATCTCACGGTTCATGGCTTCTAGCCCTACATAGGGCTCCATGCTGATGGTGCAGAGCCTGCAGGCAGAGCCTCTCTGTCTCTCCCCTGCTTGCTCTCTCTCTCTCTCTTAAAATAAATTTTAAAAAAGACTATAAGACTTTTCTCAGTGAAAATTTTAGTATATCGAAAGCAGATTATTCTGCTAAAGGTCATTTGTTTGCTGCCCCACCTCTAATCACATTATAAAAAGTTTCTTTATTTACTTTTCTTTAGGATATTGGGGGATAGAGATGGGGAGACAGGGCTAAACAATTAATCCCAGGGTCCCATAGCCTGGCTGGGATCCCTTGTGTAGGTCCTTAATGACCAGCATGTCTGGTGGCCCAAATTTGAGTTTTGTCTTCCTGACACAAAGCAGAGAAAAACATTGATTCCAGGTCAATTCTCACTTTTATTGATTTGTTTTTGCTTTTTTGCAGTGGGGGGAAAAAACAGGAAGAAAAATGGCATTACATTCAAGTACAGCCAGTTTTTCCATGCCAACATTTAGGATTCTACTAAACTCAGTAAAGTCTAGCCACTTCAGAGAACTAAGGGAGAAAAGCACTCCTACATCTTGTGCAATTCTGATGTGGCAGGCATTGTTTCTGGGTTTACATCCACTATATTGTTAATCCTGACAAAACTTTGTGGGACAGTCGGTGTTACTCTCATTTAACCAGGGGCTAACAAGTTCTGAGAGGTGAGTTACTTGTCCAAATTCTATACCTAGTGAGCGGCAAAGCAGGAATTTAAGTCCTAATCTCTTTAAACTCGAAAGCTGATATATTCTCTACTTGTTTACAAAAGCATTTAATCAGCAACTATTTTTGAGCATCTGTTATGTGCCAGGTCTTGTGCTAGTGTAGAGAATACAAAGATAAATAAACATCCAGTCCTGCCCCCACAGAGTTCAAGGGCCAGTGGAAGGTGGTGCACACAGGTGCAGTGTGTTAGGCACTAGTGAAGGCTACTGTGCAAGCGCAGAGAGAGGCACCTGCCTGAGTCATTGGGGATCAGAAACATCAGTCCAGAGAAAATATGACTAGAGGAGCTTAAAAAACAGGGCTTCTCAAATTTTAAGGTAAATATGAATCACTCTGGGATCTTGTTAAAATGTAGGTTCTGATTCAGTAGGTCTGGAGTGAGGCCCGTGGTTCTGCGTTTCTAACAAGTGCCCAGGAGAGGCGGATGCTGCTGGTCCATGGATGACACTTCTTAATTGCAAAGCCCTAAAGAGAAAGTAAAGATTAATTAGCCAGGTGCAGAGGTGTGGTGGTGAGAACTTCCCCAGAACATGCAAAGACCCAGGGAGAAAAAGAACAAGATCAACTTAGGGAACTGTTATCAGTCCAAGTAAACCTGGATTGTAGAGCATGAAATGGTGAGCTAGCACGACATGGGACTAGAGGCAACAGCAAACAAGCTAGCTGGAAGCACATTATGCAGGCTCTGTGAGACTTGGTGAGGAGCTATGTCTAATCCTGAGGGCAAGTGAGATGCCATTCAAAGTTTTCAGCTGATGAGTTCCTTTTTCAGATTTGGGCTTTCCAAAAAGCATACTGGCTGTAGTCTGGAAAATGCATTAGAACAGTGTTCTCAATCAATCCTGTTGCTTGTTAGAATCACCTGAGAGCTTTGAAAAATACCAATGCTCAGTCCCCACATCAGGTAATTAAAGAGGATCTCTAAGGCAGAGCTTTTCAAAGTGTGGTCCTTGGTATCACCTGGGACCTTGTTAGAAATGCAAATTCCCCAGCTCTGTCCCACATTTACTGAATCAGGAACTATGAGGATGGGCACAGCAGTTTGGGTTTTAACAAGCCCTCCTAGGTGACTCTGATGGATCACCTTTGAGTGGTAATGTTTGAGATCAGTTAGATTAGAGGGAGGAAAAGTAGGAAAAGGGATAGAGGCTACCATTAGGAAGCAGAGAGGTGATGGTGTGGTTTTAGCTCCACATCAGATTTTATTTACCTTGTTGAGCAAAGGAGTATACCATCTTAATGGGATCCAAGTAGTGTCTCAAAGCAGGCAGGTGAGCATGCTGGTTAGCCATAGGGTAGTTTCTGGATGAAAGTTGGTAAGTGACATTGGGTCAGGGATAGGCTAATTTATAAACTAGGTAAGCTCTGCCTTGTGAGCTGAATTGGGTCCCCCTAAATTCATACGTTGGAGCCCTAAGCCTCATTGCGATGGTATTTGGAGGGAGGGCCTTTAGGAGGTAATTAGGTTCAGATGAGGTCATGAAGGTGGGGCCTTGTGATGAAATTAGCGCCCTTATAAGAAGAGTCACCAGAGGGCTTGCAAGATTTCTTTTCTCACTACATGTGAGAACTTGGGGAGAAGGCAGACTTCTATAAGTCAGAAGAGAGCTCTCACCAGAAACCAAAAATGCCAGCACCTTCATCTCAGACTTTCCAACCTCTAGGATGGTGAGTAAATAAGTTCCTATTGTTTAAGCTACCTGGTCTATGGTATTTTGTTATGGAAGCCTTTGCAAGACACTTTTGGAATAGCAGGCAGTCTTATTGTGACACATGGGTCCCTGCGGAGTTATGTTAAAATACTTATCTTGGAACTTGTGTGTGTGAACTAGTTTTTTTTTTTTAATATGTGAAATTTATTGTCAAATTGGTTTCCATACAACACCCAGTGCTCATCCCAGTGCCCTCTTCAATGCCCATCACGTACCCTCCCCTCCCTCCCTCCCTCCCACCCAACAACCCTCAGTTTGTTCTCAGTTTTTGAGAGTCTCTTATGCTTTGGCTCTCTCCCACTCTAACCTTTTTTTTTTTCCTTCCCCTCCCCCATGGGTTTCTGTTAAGTTTCTCAGGATGCTAAGTGAAATAAGCCATACAAAGACAGATACCATATGTTTTCACTCTTATGTGGATCCTGAGGAACTAGTTTTAATTATAATAAATTGAGCCTAGATAGCTTGTGTCACAACTTATCAGTTTTGCAATTATGGCTTTTGATTTTTTTTTTTTTTTTTTTTGGTATCCTAAACCAATGCATAATTGGAATTGAAAACCTATAATAACATTGCCAGATAAAATGTAGGATGCCCAGTTACATTTGAATTTCATATTAACAGGAAATAATTTTTTAGTAACAGTATGTCAAAAATAGTGTATGGATTATAATTACTCTACAAAATTATTCATTGTTTGTCTGAAATTAAAATTTTATTAGATGTCCTGTATTTTTATTTACTAAATAGGAAATTCCGAACTCTCACAAATTTATACACATCAAGGAATATTTATCAAATGAATGATGTGGTTGATTGGATGTATAGAATAAGGGGAGTGATGAATCAGTGATGTCTGGCTTGGACACTGGGTAAATCTTGATACTCTGCAGGAAAGTAGGGACACTGGAGGGAGAGCTGATTGGGGAGGAAGGGCAAAATGATGAATCACATTTTGGAAATGTAGAGACTAAGGTCTCTCTGGAATATATAGGTATATTTTGATTATTAGGTTGTTGAACATAAAGTTCTGGATATAAGTTTTTTTTTTTAACGTTTATTTATTTTGGGGGGGGGGGACAGAGAGAGACAGAGCATGAACGGGGGAGGGGCAGAGAGAGAGGGAGACACAGAATCGGAAACAGGCTCCAGGCTCTGAGCCATCAGCCCAGAGCCTGACGCGGGGCTCGAACTCACTGACCGCGAAATCGTGACCTGGCTAAAGTCGGACGCTTAACCGACTGCGCCACCCAGGCACCCCAAGTTCTGGATATAAGGAGAAAGATCAGGATTGGGACGCCTGGGTGGCTCAGTCAGTTAAGCTGCGGACTTCGTCTCAGGTCATGATCTTGCAGTTTGTGAGTTCTAGTTCCGCATCCAGCCCTGTACTGATAGCTCAGAGCCTGGAGCCTGCTACGGATTCTCTCTCTCTCTCTCTCTCTCTCTCTCTCTCTCTCTCTCTCTCTCTGTCCCTCCCCAGCTTGCTCTCTCTCTCTTTCTCTCTCTCTCTCTCTCTCAAAAATAAATAAACGTTAAAAAAAAAAGAAAGAAAGATCAGGATGGAATCACGGGTTTAAGAATCATTCGCAATTAAGTGGTAGGGAAGCTCTAGGAGTGGATGAGATCCCAGAAAATAGGTAGAAGAGAAGGAGATGTTGAAGATAGGATATAGGCAGAAGTACCTGAGGTGTTGGGAGAACAGATGTAGGACCCAGGAGAAGGACTATGTTCAAGGACAGGAGTCCCCTTCCGTTCTGACAGGAAGGAGGGTGGAAGGGATGGCTATGCATGCAGGAGAGCTGGTAGGTTTGATGGAAGGAAATGGTGTCGTGGCAAGAGCCCCGCGTAGATTCTCTTGCCTATGGAACACTTTTTTCTCCCTTTTGTGACCTGTTCATTCTGGTTGTACTCATTGTATTGAGTAATGTAAAATGATGGAATAAGAGTTTAAAGTGTTTTTATGAAAACTAAGCTTTGGAAAAAAATCTTAAAATGGTGAATTGCACTTTTTTTAAAAGTTTATTTAGTTTAGAGAGAGACTGAGACAACAGAAGGGGACAGGCAGAGAGAGCATCCCAAGCAGTCTCCGAGCCCATTAGCACAGAGCCCGATGCAAGACTCAAACTCATTAAGCCATGAAATCATGACCTGAGCTGAAACCAAGAGTTGGACATGCAACTGACTGAGCCACCCAGGCACCTTGCACTTTTTATTGTTAAAGTAGGTGTGGGTAACAAAACTGTAAACATGTGGATTTAAAAAGCCTAGTAGGATTTTGCACTCCTATCGCTTCACCTGCATAAATTCAAATTGGACAACACAAATGATAAATTGTTGGTGTGATTTCTGCAGAACTCCAATTAATGGACCCCCTCAAAAATGCTGTGGTCCTAACTCCGAGCACTAAGAAGTGGAGGCATACTTTTTAGGTTAAAATAAAATGTAAATTACACATGTTATCATTGCTCAACTGATTCAGTGTTTGGTTTGTTTTTGTTTTTAGTATGTTCACATTTATTTTATTTCTAGTTTAGTTGATTGACAAAATTTCGTATATTTAAGGTGTATAGTGTTTTGATATATGTATACATTTTGAAGTGATTATCATAACCAGGCTAAATAAAAGATCAATCATCTGCATTGTTACCGTTGTGTGTGTGTGTGTGTGTGTGCGTGTGATGAGAACTTGAGATCTACTATCTCAGCAAATTTCAAGCATACAGTACATTATGAACTATAATTACCAAATTGTACATTGGTTCTCCAGAACTTACTCTTAACGGGCAGTTTATACCTTTTGAAGAACATCTCCCTTTTACCCCCACCGCTCAGCCCCTAGTAATGACCATTCTACTCTGTTATTATGGGTTTCACTTTTTAAAAAAATTTAAATCCAAGTTAGTTAACATATAGCATAATAATGATTTCAGGAATAGAATTTAGTGATTCATCACTCACATGTAACACCCAGTGCTCATCCCAATGAGCGCCCTCCTTAATGTCTACCACCCATTTAGCCCATCTCCCCACCTAACACCCCTCCATCAACCCTCAGTGTGTTCTCTCTATTGAAAAATCTTTTCTGGTTTGCCTGCCTCTCTGTTTCTATCATATTATTGCTTCCCATCCCCTATGTTCATCTGGCTTGTTTCTTAAATTTCACATGAGTGAAATCATATGATATTTGTCTTTCTCTGGCTGACTTATTTCACCTAGCATAATACACTCTAGTTCCATCCACGTTATTGCAAGTGGCAAGATTTCATTCTTTTTGATCGCTGAGTAAAATTCCATTGTATCTATATACCACATCTTCTTTATCCATTCACCAGTTGATGAACATTTGGGCTCTTTCCATAATTTGGCTATTGTTGAAAGCACTGCTATAAACATTGGGGTACATATGCCCCTTCAAATCAGCATTTTTGTATCCTTTGGGTAAATACCTAGTAGTGCAGTTGCTGGGTCATAGGGTAGTTCTATTTTTAATTTTTTGAGGAAACTCCATACTGTTTTCCAGAGTGACTGCACCAGTTTGCATTCCCACCAGCAGTGCAAAAGGGTTCCCCTTTCTCCATGTCCTCGATATCATCTATTGTTTACTGAGTTGTTCATGTTAGCCATTTGACAGGTGTGAGATGGTATCTCATTGTGGTTTTCTGTTTCCCTAATGATGAGTGATGTTGAGCATCTTTTCATGTGTCTTTTTGCCATCTGGAGGTCTCTTTTGGAAAAGCATCTATTTATGTCTTCTGCCCATTTCTTCACTGGATTACTTGTTTTTTGGGTGTTCAGTTTAATAAGTTGTTTATAGATTTTGGATACTAACCCTTTATGTGATAGGTCATTGCACATATCTTCTCCCATTTTGTCAGTTGCCCGTCAGTTTTGTTGATTGTTTCCTTCACTGTGCAAAATCTATTAATCTTGATGAAGTCCCAATAGTTCATTTTTGCTTGTTTCCCTTGCCTCCGGAGACCTGTCTAGTAAGACATTGCTCCAGCCAAGGTCAAAGAGGTTGCTGTTTTCTCCTGTAGGACTTTGATGGTTTCCTGTCTCACATTGAGGTCTTTCATCCATTTTGAATTTATTTTTATGTATGGTATAAGAAAGTGGTCCAAGTTCGTTCTTCTGTATGTGACCATCCAGTTTTCCCAACACCAATGTTGAAGAGACTCTCTTCCATTGGATATTTTTCCTGCTTTGTCGAACATTGGTTGGCCATACATTTGTGGGTCCATTTCTGGGTTCTCAATTCTGTTCCATTGATCTATGTGTCTGTTTTTGTGCAGACAATATGTCTTGATGATTACAGCTTTGTAATACAGCTTAAAGTCCAGAATTGTGATGCCTCCAGCTTTGGTTTTCTTTTTCAACATTACTTTGGCTGTTTGGGGTCTTTTATGATTCCAAACAAATTTTAGAATTGTCTGTTCCAGTGCTGTGAAGAACTGGTGGTTTTTGTTTGTTTGTTTTTTGTTTTTGTTTTTTTTTAAATTTTTTTTTCAACGTTTATTTATTTTTGGGACAGAGAGAGACAGAGCATGAACGGGGGAGGGGCAGAGAGAGAGGGAGACACAGAATCAGAAACAGGCTCCAGGCTCTGAGCCATCAGCCCAGATCCTGACGCGGGGCTCGAACTCACAGACCGCGAGATCGTGACCTGGCTGAAGTCGGACGCTTAACCGACTGCGCCACCCAGGCGCCCCTGTTTTTTGTTTTTTATAGGAATTGCATTTAATGTGTAGAGTGCTTTGGGTAGTATCAACATTTTAACAATACTTGTTTTTCCAATCCATGAGCATGAAATGTTTTTCTATTTCTTTGTGTCCTCTTCAATTTCTTGCATAAGCATTTCATAGTTTTCAGTGCACAGATCTTTTGCCTCTTGGGTTAGGTTTCTTCCTATGTATCTTATGGGTTTTTTGTGCAATTGCAGATGGGATAGATTCCTTGATT